AGAATTATTGTCCCATATCATGGGAACAACCCCAATACTTGAAATGGCGCGCGCTTACGGTCTCCGTCCCCGATTATGGCTCCTGCTCATAGACAATTCTTCAAAGAAATGTCCATGTTGCCCCCAGTAAGAGTTGGCTTCAAACATCATTTTTATGTAAGAATTAGAGGAACATATTTGACCTGATTAAAAAATATATATCAAAAACGTGACAATTGTCTCAAAATTGATCATGACAGGATTTTTTTCTCGTCAAAGCAGGCCCACAAGGCCACATGTCTAATGACAGACCCGCTGAAACTAACATTATTCTTAAAACAAGTCACTGATATCGCTAAAGCGTTAAGAAACAAAAATGCAGATTGTTTTTTTTATGCCACTATATCTATCAACATAAAAAAAACATTCTATTCTCGTGTTGTTTAAGTTCCACATTGTGGTTCTTGGTGCAATGAATGCATTTGTTGCTTTCTTCTTAGAAATCCATATCTGCCCATGGATTTCCGGGTATTCCAGGATCCAATGGTATGCCGGGAATGCCTGGCATTCAGGGGCCCCAAGGACCGCAGGGAAGAGATGGAGTTAAAGGCCAGACTGGTGATAAGGGATCGCATGGAATGCTAGGACAAATGGGAGAAAAAGGAAATGAAGGGCCTCGTGGAAAGAGCGGACCGCCAGGAATAATGGGAATAAAAGGAGCGCGCGGAACTGTGGGAGATCAAGGAATAAAAGGCGATAAGGGAGAGAAAGGAGAAAGCGTGACAAGTCCTTCTAGTGCAGTGCCACAAACTAAGTGGAAACAATGTGTGTGGAAGACTAATGATGGTCGAAATAGCGGTAAGATTAAGGTAAGAGTAAAACGTTCTGATTAAGAATGGTTATGAGCAAAATTACTGTTATCACCTAATGTAAGTTAAAATTTGGATTCGGAATTCGACAAGGATTTAATTGAGAGCAGAAGCATATCACCAAGAAGCGTTCAACTTCCCTTATCTGTTTCAAACTATGCTGCCGATTATTCCCGACCAATGAAAATCACTCTTCTAATTTTTGCCCATATAAGGAAATTCTGAATAGCGCGCTCTTCGCGAACTCCTCGCGTCAATCTCTCGCAAAACAAACCTGTTCAAAATGGCGTCTTAAGCGAAGAAGTTCTCGGGCATGATGATAAAGAAGATTTGTGTCAAGGGAAAAGCATTGAGAGAGGAGGTTGTACTTGAAAGAGTTTCTGGTCAGTTGGCAGAAACGTTCAAGGTTTAACTGGACTCTTGTGCCAGCGAGTTCGGATCGGTAAAACATTGTAGCAGTCTGTCCGTAGTGTAAATAAAGAGATCAAGTGAGAGAGTTTTTGATTTATCTAGTGAACAGGCGAAGTTCTCTCGCGACAAATATGAGGTACTTCAGGTTAGGTGGTATGAATATGTAAGGGAGGTATGAAAAAGTGAGGAAGTTAGGAAGACAGTTCAGGATAGTTGCAAAGATGGTGATATTGTACGGTCGATCGTTTCGAGTTATCTGGAATGTAATAAGCGCTACAGTTTGAAGTATGTCATGGAAGTTCAGAGAAATGGCAAAGCAAA